ACGGGGGTGACTTTTTCTATGTCATTGGTCATCCTACAGACCACGACAAAATACAATCCTGTCTCACCAACCCCACAAGCCAATTAGAGAATTAATCAATTCTTCTTTGGTTAGTCGTTCAAATAAAAATGCTCCTATATTCTAGCCCCTTCTCTGTCTTTTTCAAAGAACTTATTAGGAAACATATTTTTCCTGAAATCAAGATGTTCTGTCTCTATGATGTTCTAGTTTGCTAATCGAGTAACACTAGCAATGAAAGTCATTCACTTAATCTATAGTAAGCATTTACTAATGTTATTTACTGTGATAGGCATGTATGATAAGATACACATCGGTGAAGAAAACATGACTTCATGGAGCTCACTGTTTAGACAGAGACACTAAGGAAGGAAAATAAATACATCATGTTAAATTGAGATGGGTGTCATGAAGGAAAAGAACAGAATGCTGTGACAAAAAATGACACCAGAGAAAGCCTGTCTTTGAAGAGGTAGCATGGAAGCTGAGACCTAAAGAACAGCAAGGAACCAGCCTCTTGCAGAGAATGGGAAGTGTCCTGGGCTGAAGGAACCCCTGCAAAAGGCCAGGAGGCAAGGAAGTCATTTCAGGAGACTGAGACACATCGTGATGAACCATGTAGGCATCTGGGGATAACTGCTTTTTTCCCCCTCATTGCTCATAAATCACTCTAGTAACTGTTCTATAATGTTACAAAGAATTACTAATCTTAGTCTTTTAGTTTCCAGAATTCACCATCTAAAATTTCCCTCTTGGGGTAGTGAATACACACACACACACAAATTTTTCCATCTTTAAAAATGTGGACATTTGCCATATTATGAGTTCCTCAGGTTACCTACAGGGGACACAAATCTCACATAATAACTTCTGATTTCTAGAACACCATATGTCCAGGCCCTGAACTCATTTAAAATGCTAAGAATCCTGTTACTATTTTATTAGTATGTTCAATCCTTAGTGAAATTATAACTAACAAAAAGGATTTTCCTAACTTCTCACATTACCTCATTCTGTCTTGTTTTCTTCCAAGCTTTAGCTACTTATATGTTTTTGTACAGCTAAAATAAGGTAATTATCATTATTGCATGATACCTTATTTACCTAGATAACTCTGAGGACTGAAAAATTATTACAAATAATAGAATTTAGTGAAGTGTGTGCGTGGGGAATAACATGCAGAAATAAACATATCTAAACAAACAGTAAGTTAAATATATAATCAAAGAAAAGACTCAATGGCAACAAAAGCGATAAAATGCCTGTGAATAACCTTAACGAGAATGCATGATCTGTGTGAACAAAATTTTAAAATACTACTCACCTAAAAGACACTTAAACAAATGGAAGTAACACCATAATCTTGGGTAGGGACAGCATATAATGATGTTAATCTCCCAAAGTCTACAAATTTAATATGATCTAGATTAAAATATCAGCAAAATTTTTAAAAATAAAACGAGCTTATTTTAGGTTCACATGTTAAAATAAGGAAGAATTGAAAGGAAAATGCTGGAAAAAAAAAAACCCTAATAAATAGAAGCTAGCCCAACCAAATATAAAAATGTATTATAAAGCTACAATAATGAAGATGGGGCAATTCCCTGTGAATACACAAACTGATGTAACAGAATAGAAGGTCCAGTAACAGACCTAAATTCATACTTTTTTTTTTATTTCTTATGCCTACGGCACCTGGTATTCCTAGGTGGTCTGCCATCCAAGTACTAACCAGGCCCACCCCTGCTTAGCTTCCGAGATCAGACGAGATCGGGCGCGTTCAGGGTAGCATGGCTGTAGACTCCTTATGGATTTTAATAGCCAGTCATAGCTAATATAAAACACTGGGAGCTACCTAAAACATAAGGGTACAAAGAGAATGAAAGTAAAAGAATGGGAAACGCTATATTATGCAAACATAAACCAAATGAAAATTATATAATAACATATAGTAGACTTGAAGTCACAAAGCATTACTAGAAATAAAGGCACCTCATATCAATAAGTTCGACTTGCCTGGAAGTTCTAAATTTGTATACACTTAATAGCATAACCTCAAATAGTACAGAACAACAGAGCTACAAAGAAAAATAGACAAATTCATAATTATAATAGGAGATTTAACACACCTCTCTCATTCACTGATAGAGCATACCTCTTTTGGAACCAAGAAACGCCCCCACGAAAAATCGGTAAGGATATAAAAAACTTAAATAATGAGAAGAAAATTGGATTCAACAATGTAAATACTCCACTATACCCAACAACTGCAAATGACAAATTATTTTCAAGCACACTTGGAACATTTTTAAACCTGACCATATTGTGCTATAAAGTAAGTTTCAACAAATTTCAAAGGATTGAAATACAAGGTGTGTTTCTTGCCCTCATTGCAGTTAATCTAGAAATGAGTAACAAAAGGTGACTAGAAAGTCCTTACATTTGGAAGTTATGAAATCCATTTCTAAATAACCCAAAAATAGAAATCACAATCAGAGTTAGAAAATAATTTTAAACTGAATGATAACAAAAATACTACATACCAAAACTTATGGGATATGCTTATAGGAAAATGCATAGTCCTAAGTGCACGTATTAGGAAAAAAGAAAAGCTGAAAATTCACGAATTTTGCATCCATCTTAAGAACCTAGAATAGTAAATTAAATCCAGAGAAAGTAGAAGGTAAGAAATGTGCACATAGCGATGTCTGGAAGGATATATACTTTAAATGATAGCAGTTTTTACTTCTTGGGATAGGATTCTGAAATAATTTTATTTTTTTGTATTGTTTAAGCTGGAACAAAGCCACTTTCATTTTAGGAAAAAAGGTAGTAGAGGAAAACATGGGATCATTAAATAATAATAATAGGCTAGACCATTGTGGTGACACCAGAAGCTGTTAACTGGGCATCATATAGAAATTTTTCCACACTTTTAAAAATGCCGTGAACAAAATCAAAGACAAATGACAAACTGGGGAAAATATAACCCATCACAAGTGGCTAATCTCTTTCATAAAAAAAAGCACACTAAAAATCTCATGTATATCACCGAGAAAAAAATGATAATTAAAAAGGAGTAAAGGATATAAACATTTACAGAAAAGGAAATATAAACAGATGCTAACCGATGAAAATCTATTACGCTTACTCATAATGAGAGAAATGGACATTAAAATTGTCTTGAGATTCCATTTCAATCATAGAACTGGCAAAAATAACTTGTTAATACTGTGATTTTTTGGGGGGGGAGAACTTGTCATTTCATATATTGCTAACAGTCATACAAGTTGGTTTAATATTTATGGAGGGCAATTTGACATTAATAAAAATTTAAATGCACAAATCTTTTGAGGCAATATTTCCATATCTAAGTATTTATTACACATGTACAAAATGGTGAGTAGATAAGGTGATTATCCGGGACACTGTTTGTAATAGCAAAAGACTGAACACGACCTAAGCATTCATGAGGGTCTGCTTGAATAAATTATAGCATGAATAAATTATGAGAAAATGCAGTTTACAGTAACCCTCCAAAGTCTTTTCCCCTCCGACTGTACTAAAGAATAATCGACAAATATAATTGTACATATTTAAAGTGATAATTTGATATACATGTAATGATTTTATATACATGTATTGTGGAATGACTACCAAGATCAAGATAATGAACACGTCCATCAACTCACGTAATTAACTCTTTTTTTTCATGGCGAGAATGCTTAACATCTACTCTAACTTCCAAATATACAACACTATATTATTAACTATAGTCACCATGCTGTACCTTAGATTCTCTGAATTTATTCTTCTTATAACTGAAAGTTTGTATCCTTTGACCTACATGTCACCATTTCCCCTCCCTCATCTTCAAAGTCTTATGACAATTAAATTGCAAAGCCTCATCCCAAATCCCTGCACTGTGTAAGATGCCAGTGTGCCTACACGCAAAAGGGAATACATCTTCATTTCCCCTGGGAGAGAGCGCTCCACAGAGGTATTAAAAAGCTTTGCTTTAGCTTTAACCAATATCCGACTTCTAAAGAAAAAAGGTATAACATGCTAACAAAACACAAAAACCACATCATCTCAATGAACACAGAAAAAGCATTTGGAAAAAAATCCAACATCCATTCATGATTAAAACCCTCAACACTACAAACAGGAGGGAACTTTCTTAAACTGATAAAGGGCATCTATGAAAAGGCTACAGGTTACATCATATTTAATGAAGAAAGACAACGCTCCCCCTCTCCCCCCCCAAAAAAAATCAGAACAAGACAAGGATGTCTGCTCTCAACACACCGTTCCACTCTGTACTAGAGGTCTCAGCCATTAGAAATTAAGATACGGTATGTTTATCACATTTGTTGATGGACTATAGAACGCGATGATTAATACAATCTGATCCAAAATTACTGCTACAGGCTGGAATGATTAACGGAGTAAATGAGACATGTAAATTAAAGCCAAAACTAATGCGTTTAGGTTTAAAAACCAACGTCAAGGTACAAAATTCTGCATAATTTCTGGGAACCTTCCGTGTACCCTGCCCTAGAGACAGAGACATGACTCCTTCCTAGATGGCTTAAGCTCAGACCAAAACAATGTCTAGGCTAAGGCACGTCTTCCTGTGACCTCTAGACCCCTTTGCCACTTAAGAATTCTCTATTACGATTGTGTTAATTCTTCAGGGCCAAGACTGTATGTTACATTTGATTCTCCAAGGTTTCCAATATTTATCAGGAGTCCAGTACCCTTCCACTGGGTGACTACACTGCCCTCGGGCCGACTACGTGGAAGCTAAGGAAGCTTAAACGAAGCGACAACACGTGAACCGCGCGTTTTAGGAAGACGGTGCGCAGAACAGTGCCTGGAACAGTCTGAAATTCTAACAACTCTCCCATTTGGAGAGGCGTCCGGAGGGGTTTTCTGAGGTTACTTCTCTGAGCATGAGCGGAAGTCACGTTTTGACCAGTCTGTGGGGGGTTTTTACTGATAGGTGCCATATTCAGGACAGAGCAATTCATTTCTATTCTGTTCTCCCCGTTGTACCCACAAGCAGGTGACAAGTTCGTCTTCGCTACTAGACGATAAAGACAGCATTCAAGGAAGTCGTAAGGCAGCACGACTCCCCATCTTCCCATAGTAAAGATGGAGGCGCCCTGCATGTAAACGACAGGTAAAACTACTTCCGCCTTTCTCCTGCGCCCTCGTCCAAGATGGCGGACGAGGCCACCCGGCGTGTCGTGTCTGAGATCCCGGTGCTGAAGACTAACGCCGGACCTCGAGATCGGGAGTTGTGGGTGCAGCGACTCAAGGAGGAATACCAGGCTCTTATCCGGGTCAGTCGTGCTACCGCGGCCAACCGCGTCGCAGAACGGTTGCGGGCAATCAGGTGTCCTTAGAAATCTGCTCCGTGTGGAAGCTGCTTCCGGTTTTAAAGTTTAACTCCCAAATTCATAGAAACTGGAGAATTGGGGGGTGCGGATAGTGGGGAGCAGGCAGAGGAGACTCGCGTCAGGAGCCACACTGAGACCAGCGTTTGTGGCCGAAAGCAGCCGTTCCTGTGGGGATACGCCTCCCCGGAAGGTGACGTGTCCCCCTGGCTGCAGGTGCCAGCTCTCCTGCATGTAGGGGAGGTGGTCAGAGGGTTTCCTGCGGCCTAAGGCCGGGTCCGCATCTCCCCGCTCCCGCCTTCACTCTTCGTGAGGGAGGAACATAGGTTAGGGCTGAAAATGGAAGGAGCCGTTAGTTGCAGAGAGCTGAGGAGCTGAGCGCACAGGAACGAGCCATCCTCTCAGCTAGTGTCCCTTCTGCGGAAGAAGAAAGTTTGTCTTCCTGACAGGGACCTCTGTCTATAATAAAGGCCAGCAGCTTTTCTGCCGCTTGAAAAAACCCTTATTAGACGGCTAGTACCTAGGAAGGGGGTCCAAAACCAAATAAGGTGGAGGGGACTGAGGTGGACAGAAGCAGTTTTAATACGTTGTTTAAGTAGAGCGGGAGGGAGGGGAGGCGGAGAAACTGCTAAGATGTTTTGAAGAAGGTGGAGAGATTCCTAATCCAATTGGGGTCTCCTCAGGGAAGGCTTCCTGGAAGAGGCAGGACTTGAGCTGAGACTTAAAGGGTAAACATAAGTTAGCCAGATAAAACATGAGGGTAAGAGAAGGACATTCAAGTCAAAAGGGACAGCATGAGCAAAGGCGTAGAAGCTAGAATGGCCATGATGTGCATGAAGAAAGGCAAGTAGTTCAGAGTTGCTACGGCATCAAATGTGTGGCAGGGAGTGGTAGGCAAGGCTTGAGGGAGCGGTTTGAGCACTTGAATTTTATCTTGGGGGCTTTAGGATACCTTTAAAGGATTTTAAACGGAGGAATAACAGGGCCAGATTTGGCTTTTGATGGATCACAGTGGCAGTAGAGAGGAAAATAGAATTGACAGGGAAAAGATCGAAGGTAGGAGATAAATTAGGAGGCTGTCAATAATCCAGGAAAAAGAAAGGTGATGACGGTCGAAACTCAGCAGTTACGGTGAGAATAGAGAGGAAAGGTAGATGTGAAGAATACGCAGAAGGTAAAATCAGCGGAACATTGTGAAACAGAGTAAGCAGGATCGGTGGAGGAAAGTAAAGGAGAGGAAGTATCAGGAATGATTCCCAGCGTTTTGAGTGACAGTGAATGCTAATACTACTGCCTGAAATTGATGCAGTGGAGAAATGGATCTGAAGGACAGGGGGAAACACTTGAGTTTGAGGTACCTGTGAAACGAAGGTAGAAATTTCAATATACAGTTGGATGGGAGACCACCTGGAAAGACCAGGTGCTGTAGGCGTAAAAAATAAAAAATGAGGGATTGTAAACTGACAAGGTCCTTGCAATCTGTGAGGTCAACCAAGAGTTGCCTCGCCTAAAAATATATATATATATACGAATCTGATGCTCTGAGAAAAGGTCTAGATTAAACATAAAGATTTGGAAGTCATCAACATGTGGGTGCCAGTCAAACCCAGGACGACATGAGGTCCTCCAGAGAGGGAGTACACCATAAAATGAGTTGTGGGCTGAGGGCAGGCGCTGTCAGAGGTGAGAAGAGAACCCAGGCACTACCATCAAGTCTTTTGTGCTAAATTGAGTGGAATCCCAAGCATTCTGTTCTCTGCTCTGGGCAAGTTCCTGCTTATCAGTGCAGCTTTGTCTTCGGCTTTGCTTATGTCCGAAAAGTTGGGTAAACATACCAAGAGAGAAAGTAATCACACACTTTTCTTTTGACGTTGGGGGACTGCCCTTGCCCCCGTCTTCCCTCTCAAAGACCTAATTCTCTGCTTTCAGTATGTGGAGAACAACAAGAATGCGGACAATGATTGGTTCCGACTGGAGTCCAACAAGGAAGGGACTCGGTAGGCAGACCCTCCTGGGAGGTGTGGGGGTGGGAGTCTTACCTGCTTGAACATTTTGGTGTCTCAGAGCTCACTGCCTGGGCTTCCCTGCCTCATATTAGCTGTGTCCCCTCCCACAACTCCAGACTCCCAATTCCCATCTCATGAGTCTCTCAGGCTAGTCGCCTAAACCAAGACGATGTCATTTGAATAGAGAAGAATGGGCAAATGGGACTGAGGTTTGGTTTTTGTTACAGGTGGTTTGGAAAATGCTGGTACATCCACGATCTCCTCAAATATGAGTTCGACATCGAGTTTGACGTGCGTATGATGGAGTAGGAAATGTGGAGGTTATTAGGAGAGGAGGGATTATGTGATTGTTAACAAGCTAACCTTTCTTGGAAGAACTAAAGAAAACTTTTTAAATGGGAAGAGAAAGCTGAGGTTTGAAGCAAACATAGGTCCAGTTACTAATCTCCAAGCCTAGAGTCCTGGCGCACACATGCCGCTTGGGGAGTTTGCCAGATATTTCCATTCAAGCAAGACGTGTGTGTGTGCGACTAGATCAGTTCCTTTCAATCCTGATTCTGTTTTATTAAGGCTTTATAATTCCTCCAGATTCCTATCACATATCCTACTACTGCTCCAGAAATTGCAGTCCCTGAGCTGGATGGAAAAACAGCAAAGATGTACAGGTAAGACTGAATAGGAGATGAGAAAGGGTCAAAGAAGGACTTGGGGAGAACTCCAGGAGGCAGGAATTTCCCCCAGAGTCTGCTGGCCTAGAGGGGCTCCAGGCTTCCCTCTGTCAAGCCTGGACAAAGTATGTAGCGGACATTACTCTCAATTCTGATCACTAGTATCCCTGTGCTCCCAAGAGACTGCTGTGCTTTATGGTTAATCTTACATGTCAACACCTTCTTTCCTCTTGTCCCTCCCATAGGGGTGGCAAAATATGTCTGACCGATCATTTTAAGCCTTTGTGGGCCAGGAACGTGCCCAAGTTTGGATTAGCTCATCTTATGGCTCTGGGGGTAAGTGTGGGGTGTTTGGCATATAAGGGGGATGGGGGTTAGGCCACGAGCAGTATAAGAACAGTAACAGAGTAAACAAGGAATAACAGTGTTTTCCCTTGGGCATGTTCCCCTAGAATCTCTCTAGAAAAGAACTTAGGGAACATGAGGCGTTGGCTGGGTCACAGTAATCTCATAGGGTCTCGCTTGTACTGCAGCTGGGTCCATGGCTGGCAGTGGAAATCCCCGATCTAATTCAGAAAGGCGTGATTCAGCATAAAGAGAAATGCAGCCAATGAAGGATCAAGCCGCTGAGGCTGAGACTTGGATAGGCTACGTTCCTGTTTTCCTGTGCATCCCTCTTCTTACTCATCCGACCGCTTCACTCACACCCCTTCGCCTACAGCGGTTACTAAGTAGCTGCAGCGGTACAGTTTCCAGCATTGCCGGGGTGAAAAAACAGTGTTGCTACTGAGTTTCTAAGTTAGGCTGTACAGGGAGGGGAGAGGCTGGGGCTTTGGAAAAACCGAAAGGTAATTTATACCCCTTCCCCAGGCGGAGCGGTGTGAGATCCTGGAAGGACAGGGGATGGTTGAAAGTGGGTACACAGTCTTTTTGGTTTCCGGAAATAACTCATCAATAAAAGCTGCTTCTTCTGGTGGCCTGTGGTTCTCGTTGGTGGCTGTTGACACAGGGTGAGCAGGCCGAGCCCCAAGGCACATGTACAACCACACTGATTTGGGAGGGAGCTGGGGAATGAGAAAAAATCTTGACCTCTGTCCCTGCTGCTGAGACCTTCCTTTGTCCTTTACCGGGGAGCCTCCTGCTTTGGCCGGCAAAGTGCTTGAGGGGCGGTGTTGCAGGGCCAGCCTTTATGCCCTGCGGGGAACTTCCGGTCCCTAGTGCGGTGCTGGACCCACGCCCTGCGCTCCCTGGGAAGGGTCTGCGCAAGCCCGGGGCCACACTACTTGTCAGATCCACATCCCTATGGGCCACAGGCAGAGGTGACGGGACCCCGTACTTAAGGGACGTGGTTTGCAGCAGTGGTTTAAAGACAATTCTAGGCAGGGCTGGGAAGTGGCGGTCCTCAAGTTGGCTGCGTTTCCATGGTGTCGGCCGCGGAGCCAAGGGGGCGGGCTCACGCAGGCGCCGAGGAGGTCGGCGGGCCCCCCTCCCCGCCCCGAATGTGGGTGCGCAGGCGCCGTGGGACACGGTGAAGCCGGCGGCCCGTGGCCCGTGGGACCAACAAAGATGGCGGCGGCCCCGGCGGCGGGAGCGACCTGGGCGACACGGGGGGGTGCGGGGGGCGGGGGAAGACAGCCCCGGACCCGGGAGGACGCCTCCCACACGGGCAGGGGCGCGGAGGGCCCCGCAGGCCTGGGAGAACCGGGCTGGAGGGACCGCGTCCGTGGGCCGCGGGGAACACAGCGCCGGGCTCCGTAGCCAATCAGCGGGCTCGGCCTTTCTGCCCTCGAGGGGGGCGGACCCGCCGAGGGGGTGCGGGGGGCGGGGGAAGACAGCCCCGGACCCGGGAGGACGCCTCCCACACGGGCAGGGGCGCGGAGGGCCCCGCAGGCCTGGGAGAACCGGGCTGGAGGGACCGCGTCCGTGGGCCGCGGGGAACACAGCGCCGGGCTCCGTAGCCAATCAGCGGGCTCGGCCTTTCTGCCCTCGAGGGGGGCGGACCCGCCGAAACCCTGCTGTGGTGGGAGCAGCGCAGAGATTAAGGGCCGGGGACTTGCGCGTCCTCCGTCTCCGCCCCTGTCCCCGCGCCCTACACCGCGTTGTAGCTCGGGGGTGGGGGAGGGATTGATTCTCCAGACACCCGTTCAGGTGGCTTCATTTACAGCGGGGAGGGCCAGCGGTTGAGGGTGGAATGCTGTCTTTGGGGCTGTTGTCCTTGCATCCACTCCCCTATTTGACCAGAGGTCCGAAGTGACCCAGGGCACATCCCGCTGGACCAGCCAGGTCAAGCGGGATGTGCCCTGGGTCACTTGTCATGAGCGCTTAGGTTGTGAAGACATCTGAGCTAGGGGTCGTCACTGGCTTTTCAGTAAAGCCGTATCCTGCAGGAAGGTGGGGAGGAACACAGAGGCAAAGCAGTGGGCTGCTGTCAGTCACCCATTCATTCATTTACTCAGTGAGTACTAAGTATTTACTTCCCGTGGGACGCTAGGTCCTGGGACACAGTGACTGATACACGTGGTTCCTGCCCTCAGTGCCGTGTAGCTTAGGGTCCCACTTCCCTCCATACTCTGCTGACCGGCTCTTCTCCTCCAGGGCCAGCCTGTGGTGTCCACAATGCCCCAGGCCTCTGAGCACCGCCTGGGCCGGACCCGAGAGCCACCCGTTAGTGTCCAGCCCCGAGTGGGATCCAAACTACCGTTTGCCCCCCGGGCCCGCAGCAAGGAGAGCCGAACCCCAGCTCCTGGGCTGAACCCCATGCTGCGACCTCTGCCTCCCCGGCCAGGTGCACCTGAGGAACGGCTCAAGAAACTGGACCTGGGACGGGGACGGACCTCAGGCCCACGTCCCAGAGGCCCCCTTCGGGCAGATCATGGCGTTCCCCTGCCTGGCTCACCACCCCCCACTGTGGCCCTGCCTCTCCCGTCCAGGACCAACCTAGCCCGTTCCAAGTCTGTGAGCAGTGGGGACTTGCGTCCAACGGGGATTGCCTTGGGAGGGCACCGCAGTGCTGGAGAGCTAGGAGCTGCCCTGAGCCGCTTGGCGCTCCGGCCTGAGCCGCCTGCTTTGAGGCGCAGTGCCTCTCTCCGCCGCCTCGGGGGCTTTCCTGGGCCCCCCACCTTGCTCAGCATACGGACAGAGCCCCCTACTTCCCATGGCACCTTCCACGTGATATCCGCCCGGCCCTCGGAGCCTTTCTACTCCGAAGACAAGATGGTGAGGACCTGCCAGCGCACGTGACCTCCCATTCCTCTGTTCCTCCATGTGTCGAGCTTTCTTGCCATCATGTAGCTTTCCTTCCCCGCTTTCCCAAGTCCCTTTCTCAGCCCCCTACTGCAGCATTTAGACTTTCCTGTCCTTTACGAAGTACCCTTTCGGGGTGTCTGTGGCTCCTCAGCATGGTGTGCCGCTTCAGCCCCCAGGCAATCAACCCAGCCGTTTGGAACTCTCCTTTGGGTCCCCAGGCCCTTACTTTCCCTTGCTGCACCTTGTCTCCCAGGACACTGCATAGGCCTGATTAATCTCTGGAGCTGAGGAGGGGCGGGCTCACAGCATCCGAGCTAGTGTGGTTGCCCATTTCCCCAGCCAAGTGAGCTAGGCTGATTGCATTCAGAGCCATCGGGAGAGGGTGCAGGAAGGGGCCACGGGGGCAGGAGGGGGCCTTGGAGGCAGCAAGGTGGGGGTGGGGAGCAGCTGGGCAACCATGCCAGTGCTGGGGGAGCTGCCCCAGGAGCTGCAGCGTCGGCTGGCTGGGCAGAGGTGTAAGTGGGGACCGAGTGGGACAGCCATGGCTGAATCTGTGGTCCACTCAGCTGTGATGGGCTTACTGCTCATGGCCAGTGAGGTAGGGAGACCCCAATACCCAGTGAGGGGAAAAGGAGAGAGTTTGGGGGTGAAGAATGGGGGAGGGAGGCGACGGGCAGCATGCTGCGGAAAGGTGAAGGTGCCAGGCGGGTACACGGGGACCTGCTGACTGTGCTCTGGCTTCCAGGCTCACCACACGCTGCTCCTGGGCTCCGGTCACGTGGGCCTCCGAAACCTGGGGAACACGGTGAGAGCCCCCCTTCCAGCAGGAGTGTGAGGTGGCGCTGGGCGGGGGACTGGCTGACTTGGGGAACACCTGGGGCTTACCGGCCCCTGGTCTGGGAGATAATGGCGCCGTCTCTGGTGCTCCCCAGTGCTTCCTGAACGCCGTGCTACAGTGTTTGAGCAGCACTCGGCCTCTTCGGGACTTCTGTCTGCGAAGGGACTTCCGGCAAGAGGTGCCTGGAGGGGGCCGAGCCCAAGAGCTGACTGAAGGTGGGGCGACAACCCCCCCCCAGGTCCTCCTTTCCCCAGCCTTCGGATCTGGGGGTCGTCTGTCTTTTCCCCGTTGCTGACTCTCCGCGGTGTCCCCACCCTTCGAGCCCCCTCTCCCGTGCCTCTTCTGTGGTTAACCTTGGTTTCCCTTCCCCACTCCCACCCCGATAGCCTTCGCGGACGTGATCGGTGCCCTGTGGCACCCTGACTCCTGCGAAGCTGTGAATCCCACTCGGTTCCGAGCTGTCTTCCAGAAATACGTCCCCTCCTTCTCTGGATACAGGTGGGGGAGCTGGAGGGCGTTGGACTTTTCTCTGGCCGTGCCTGCGGTGGGGGCGGGGGTCTCGCAGGGGCCCTGGCAGCAAGTTTGTGAGCCCTAACGTGCTGCACACCAGGAGCAGGGGCCGCTGTCTGGGCGGGTGGTAGCTGCGAGCTAGGTGAGGCCAGCCGCCTCTCTCTGGCTCCAGCCAGCAGGACGCCCAGGAGTTCCTGAAGCTCCTCATGGAGCGGCTGCACCTGGAGGTCAACCGCCGAGGCCGCAGGGCCGCGCCTCTCCTGGCCGGCAGCCCGGCGCCCTCCCCGCCCCGCCGGGCAGGGGCGCGGCCCGCCGAACCGGAGTTAAGGTAGGCCCCCCCAGAGGCAGCAAAGGGTTGGGGATGTAGGGTCCAGGGAAACGCTTAGCCCAGAAACTGGCCTGGGAGGCAGTGCAGAGTGGAGGAGAGCAGCAGCGGTGTCCCCAAGGGGAGCGGGGCTGCTCATTTATGAGGGTTCCCGGGGCTGGGAGCGGTGGAGGACGGCATGCTCCGCCCTCGTCTGTGTCCCTTTTTCTTCCTCTCACCTCGGATTTCCCGAGAGTCCTCAGAAATGTTACTCCTTTGACTCTTTGCTGAGTACAGAGAAGCAGCTGGGGTCTAGGTGGGTCAGGGCTCTGTGGTCCCGCCCGTGGCGGTGGGGGTGCGCGGTGTTCCTGCTGTCTCATGGGTGCTCCCCATGTCCCTTGATCTCTGGTAGTGACGATGACCGCGCCAACCTAATGTGGAAGCGGTACCTGGAGCGAGAAGACAGCAAGATTGTGGGTATGGAACGGGCACGGCAGCGGGGAAGCCGGGGTACTCTCACGGGGTGTGGGCGCAAGACTGGGCGATGCCCACGTGGAAGAGGTGAGGGGTTCGTTAGGCGTGTCGGCGGCGGAGGAGGGGGTCAGGCAAACGGGTGCGAAGTCTCAGATCCCACAGGGACCTTTTCCCCGCCTCTTTGCTTCTGCCTAGACCTGTTTGTGGGCCAGCTGAAAAGTTGTCTCAAGTGCCAGGCCTGTGGGTATCGCTCCACGACCTTCGAGGTTTTTTGTGACCTGTCCCTGCCCATCCCCAAGGTGGGATTCCAGAGGGTTCCAGGGGTGGACGGGACATGTGGGTTTGTGACCCATCACCACCCAGCCCCGGCGTGGGGGGGCACCCCATGCGTCTCAGGAACAGAACGGAAGCTTGAGCCGGTCGAGGAGAGCTGGGAGGAGAAACACAGAATACACTGACCCTGCACTCCGCTTCCCTCCAGAAAGGGTTTGCTGGGGGCAAGGTGTCTCTGCGGGACTGTTTCAGCCTTTTCACCAAGGAAGAAGAGCTGGAGCTGGAGAATGCCCCAGTATGTGGGGTTCACAGGGGTACAGTAAGGGTGGGGGTCCTGGTTGGCTCCATATGGGCACAGGGGGTTGCATGATGCTTTCGTGTGGGGAGTATTTCTCTGTCTGGGTTTGTGTTGGGGTCTCAGGTGTGTCCTAGTCTCCTAGGACACAGAGGAGTGGCCCAGAGGATGCGGAAGTAATGGGAAGCATGGTACATTTGCGAGTCAGGGTGTTGGAAAAGCCAGTCGAGGTGAGGGGCACAGTAACCTGACATTTGACATTTATTCAGGTGTGTGACCGATGTCGGCAGAAAACACGAAGTACCAAAAAGTTGACAGTACAGAGATTCCCCCGAATCCTCGTGCTTCGTATCCTAATCTTCAAATTCTTACTTCTTCCACCCATTTTTCTCCTCACTCCCCACGTTTGCAGAGGTGGACATTTGGGAACTGAATGTTCCTTAGGAAAAGCCTACCACTCCACCTTGAGGGCGCGTTCGGGGATGGGAGTGAGTGGACAGCATCAGAGACCTCAGTACCCCTCAGAGGCCCCCTGCCTCTTCCAAATGCTCCTTAACCCGGGCTTAGATCTTAATCGATTTTCCGCCTCCCGAGGTTCCATCAAGAAAAGCTCAGTAGGTGTAGACTTCCCGCTGCAGCGACTGAGCCTAGGGGACTTTGCCAGTGACAAAGCTGGTGAGACTGGTGGGGAAGGTCCTGAGGAGGCCGCGAAGGGGAGGGAGAGTCGGGGTGGGCACAGCTGTGACAATTCCACGGCCCCTGACTCGGCAGGAAGCCCCGTGTATCAGCTGTATGCCCTTTGCAACCACTCGGGCAGCGTCCACTGTGGCCACTACACAGCCTTGTGCCGGTGCCAGACTGGGTGGCACGTCTACAATGACTCTCGGTGAGAAAGGCCTCCTGTCCAACCCCTGCCCTGCCCCTGTCCCCAACATGAAGCCCCAGGGGGACAGAGTGCCTGCTGAAGGGAGAGGTGGGCGCTCCCGCTGCTTCCTGCGTGCTGTGAGGCTGGAGGGGTATTTGGGGGTGGTTACCACTGACCCCCTCCCCCTCCCTCCCTCCTAGTGTCTCCCCCGTCAGTGAAAACCAGGTGGCATCCAGTGAGGGCTACGTGCTGTTCTACCAGCTGATGCAGGAGCCGCCCCGGTGCCTGTGACATCCCTTTATGCCCTGGCGCCTGTGACACCCTCTCAACACCCTTAAGCCCCAGGCTCCCCATTTACCTCAGAGACGTCTATTTTTGTGTCTTTTTAATCGGGGAGGGGGGAGGGTGTGGTTGTAGCTCCCATTATTTTTTTTATTAAAAAATGCCCTTCCACCAGGAGGTCCCCTCGTCTCCCAGCCCTGTACAAAGCTCCCCAGGCCCTGCCCGTGTACAGCCCCCCACCCTCTACAATCTCATTTTTTGTGAATAAATTTATTAAGAAAAAGCGATGCCCTTATTTGTGTTTGTGCTTAGGGGGTGGGCCGAAGCGGAGTCCTCCCGGGCGCGTCGATGCCGGCGTTTGCCCGAGCACTGGAGGTCCGCACTGGGAGGACGCGGAGGCGGACGCGGGAAGCTGCGGGGAAGTCTGGGCCGAGGGCAGGCAGCCCAGGACCCCTGTTGACAAACATGGGTGCGTTGCCGGGCGGCCCTCGTTCCCGCAGGCCTAGGCTGTTGCTAACACCAAGGAGCTGTTTGTGGAGCCGCCTCCCGACGGACCCGCCCCGGGTCCCCAGGCCCTTCCCCTACGCGCCCCCCGGGGCTCGC